GCTTGGCTTGTGAATGTGGATCACACCATCCTAACACAACATGGATGATGAAATCTCTTTTGCCGACATGTTTTCTATCTATCGCAGTTACTGAATTGGTCGGTCTTTTTTTTTTTTAACCAAATTGGAAACAATCCTTTCCTGACCTGTAACAGATAATTACCAATTTATAACCGCTGGTATGTAATTATGTTAATTCCAGCGATAGATAAGCTATGTAGAATGCAATTTAGCCCCTTCCTTTGATATCCAAGAGGAGGGTATCTGGTTTCTGGGGGTAAGTTGGACCACTTGGGGCAATGAGGTTTCATTTTCACGAGCTTTTAAGAGGAAATCCTGGTCTGAAATCGCTCTCCATTCTCAGAAGGATATTTGCACTCCCTCCTTTGCATGGAGGAAGAAAAAAAGCAAGAAGGCGTCTTCTAGGATTTTCTCTGTTCAGACACCCAACTGAAGGAGACAGGCCCTCGCCACAGTGTTCAGGATGGTTTCTCAAATAAAAATCTATTCAGATACACAACTAATGACCTAGGATGTTTCTGAAAAATTAACTGTAAGGGGAAGAGGGTGTAGAGTGGGGAATGGTTCTTTGACATAAGCACCCCCTGCACCTTGGCTTGAGGTGGGTAACTAAGAGAGAGAAGAGGAGAGGAAAGGAAAGGAGAGAGGTGGAGAGAAGGAGGAAAAGAGAAAAAAAGGAAAGAGGAAAGGAGAAAAGAAAAAGAAGTGAAAGAAAAAGGAAACAAAGAAAATGAAAGAATGAAGGAATGGAAAGGAGAAAGGAAAGGAGAAGAGAAGAGATGAGAAAAAGAGTGGAGAAAAGAAAGAGAGGAGAGGAGGGGAGGGTGGGGAGGGGAGGAGAGGGGAGGAGAAAAAAGAGAGGCATGAAGAAACATCCTCAGGACAAAGTTGTGGCTGAGTGGAAGAAGTGACCTCATAATGAAATTTTCCACCATGGAGCACAGCTCTGGTTCAGGTCCCACCTCCTGGAGCACAGCCCCAGTGCTCTGCTTTGACTGATCCATGTCGTTTGCTTCTGTCAGCTTTTCTCCCAATAAGTCGACAGCAACCCTGCTTCCTGAAGCAGTCGATCCCCAAGGCCAAGTTCCAAAATGGAAGGTCCTTTGTATAAGAGAGCTGGTAAATATCACAGCATGCAATAAGAAGCTGAAAATAATCTGAGAAGCTTTTGGAAATGACTCCTTGTGATCTGCTAGTGGCTGAGAAAAGTTGATGGGAGTTCTCATCGAAGACTCTGCAAACATGGCTTTCCTTTCCAGCAACCCATTTTTCAAGTTGACCAGGGCTAAGCGGACGGAGCATTAATCTAAGTGACCAGAGCCCAATTCTTCTCTGTTGATATTTTATCTCAGTAAACACCCCCACTGCCCAACTGTTCTTAGTGGTTGCTGTGAAATACAGATGAGAGTAGCAGTGTCTTTGTGCAAATTGGTAATAATGTTCATACCACCTGGGCTCTGAGTTAGGACACCTGCTTACTTAGATATTTAGTAAATAATTGTTTTCGCTAACAGAAATTAAAGGCTCCTTGAGGTCAGGGCCTGCTTTTGTTTGTTGTTTTTGTTGTTTGTGTATCCGCATTGTTCACTGCTCTGCTCCTTCACTCCCCTCCCCTCCCCTCCCCTCCCCTCCCCTCCCCTCCCTTCCCTTCCTGTCCTCTCCTCTCTTCTTCAAGAATATGGGTGCAGGAAGCAGCCTTAGAAGTACAGATTCCTTGGGTCTGATAGAAGAGGGAAAGCATTCCAGGCATGGGGCACAGCCTATGCAAAGCTGTGGAAACAGGAAATGGGATGGATTGTACTAGGAGCCACAAGTAGGGAACTTTGAGTAGAAAATGGATTGCATAGGGCAGAACAGCACGTGATCAGTCTGGAACAGCAAGCTGGAATGAGTGAGACAGGGGCTGGGGGGAGAGTCCCATTTCTGTTTTAGTCTGCCGCTTCTGAAGTCGCCCATCATCAGAGAGCTCTTTGGCGACTCTGGGACACCTGGACGGGGCGGACACACTGCTTCCTTGTATGGTCTTTGTTGCATCATCATTGAAGCGAAGTGCAGAAAATCAAGATCTTCTCCATTCCCTTCATGCCCTAAACAGGCTGGAGGCAGGTGAGCACCTTCCCTGCTACCTGGTAGGTCAGAAGCAGACCAGGGCATCCTGCATATATGCTAACTGTTGTCATCCTTTGCATGATCGTAGAATCAACGTTTTAGAGCCAGAAGGGAATCCAGAGTCCACCCTGCCATTGACCCATTTTACATGTAAAGTATCTATGCCTTTCTTATATCTAGTGGACTTGGAGTCAGGAAGACCTGGGTTCAAATCCTGCCTCTATTATTTAATGCCTGTGGTGTCCTGGGCAAGCCACATCACCTGCCTGGGCCTCAGTTTCTTTCAGTTATAAAAAGGGACAAAGTGAGAGGAATCTTTTCGTCTCTAAATGTAGGATCCCAGTATCCTGTGATTTAAATATGCAAAACAGTAGGAATAATATCTATAACAGGTTGTCATTAGCTTCACAAAAGATGATGTAGGGGAAGCCCTTTGGCACCCTTAATGCTCCAGAGAAACCTTGGCAACTCTTATCTGCAAAGGGTTGATCGTGCCAACAGGTGAATAGCTCCCAGAGGTCAGGTGGGCAGTGATTCAGAGAGGACAGCAAGCCCCACTTCAAATGGAAACCTAATATGTGAAAAACCAGGCTCGCAAAGCAGGTAATAAATCTGGAGGCAATTATACCCCATTACAGCAGGATTCCATGAAGGCTTTCTTTAAATATCAAGCTACCCCAGTGCACTGAAAATGATGATTCAATTTGCCCAAATTCAATTTGCATGGATCTTTTCCGGACTGGGGCCGTGCTAGAAGGCTACTCCAGGCAGCACACCTGGATTGCTTGATGCCCAGATGAAGGGGAGTTGGTTTCCTGGGAGATGCAAATGGTCTGTAGGGTTCTCCATAGCCCCTCCTCTCCCAGAGTGTTGAAAAGTATTTCTGGGTGGCAGAGGCCAGATGCTGCCTTCTTCTGGGTCCTTCTGGTAGGGTGGATGGTAGGTTGGGCTGCTGGGTGATGGCTGTCTTTCATTAGTGGGTGCAAGGATTGTTCTGTTTGTGTTTATGTGTGGGTGTGGCGGAACAAGCCAGGGACTCTGTGGGGATCCAGATATACAAAAGTCATTATCTCCTTCCCTACCCGCCCTCAACGCATTCCTGCTGGGAGAGTTCAGAATGGAAGGTTTTAATCACCCGGTGAATCTGGCCTCTCTGAACTGGCTGGCCCAGAATGCTGGCTGCATTTCCTCGGTGTTTGTTTACACACCATTTACCCGTGCATCAGATCACTTCCCCAAACTCTGAGCCCAGGGCCTATTATCTAAACAGGGAGCCCTCCTTTTCCTCTGTGGCCCAGAAAACCCCAAATGGTTTTCTGATATGGAACATTAAATATAATCTGACTCTTGTGGCAAACGATGACATTCCCAACTCCCAGATGCTTCCATTGAATATATAACCCTAGCCGTATCTAAAAGCCTATCGCCAATCCGCCATGAGCTTGAGTGGCAGCAGTATCCAAAGTTTCCTTGAATTACCAGCCTCTTCTCCAGCCCCTAGAAATTGGTTTTTTTTACTCATTCATTAATGCCTTTATTCATTCAATAAGCATCTATTAAGTGCTTACCTTGTGCCTAACACATTCCTAGGCACCAAAGCTACCAAAAACAAAAACAAACAAAAAAGCAGAACAAAACAAAAAACAACAACAACAAAAAACAATTCCTACCCTCAAGGAGCTTCTAATCTAAACAGGGGAAGATAACATGGAAATACACAGATGGTCTGCATAGAATCTATGTGAAGTCCACAGAGGTTAAGTCTGGGTTGAGGGTATCTGTGGCTGGGGAGCTCAGGAAAGTCTTCGAGTAAAAGCTGGAAGACTTGAAGGAAAGTAGGGATTCTGAGACAGAGGTGAGGAGGGAGTACTTTCGAAGCATGGTGGGGTAGTCAATGCAAAGGCTTGGAGGTAGGAGATGTAATCACATGCCTGCTCTCAGGCCAAGGAGGCTTTGTGGCTAGAATGCTGTGTACTAGAGTGAGTAATGTCTAAGAACTCTAGAAAGGTAGGCTCATAACACGAAACTGAGGAGTTGGTATTGCCGTTCGAATTCTGCCAGAATGTCTGCTGGTAAAGATCAATCTACTTGCCTGCTTGAGAGGCAGCATGGCATAATGGATAGAACTGTGTTCAGACCCAGGCAACCTAACTGAGCCTCAGTTTCCTTATCTAAAATCTTTGCTGCAATAACTATCTCCCACAGTTCTATGAGGCTGTAGTATAGGTAAAGGACTTTATGAATGTCAGTTGTTACCCTAATCTTCTTTGCGACAGCCATGAGAGGCAACGTGCAATCGTACCTCCTTGTTATGAGGAAGCCCCAGATTCAAGTCATGCCTATGACCCACAGTGTCTCTGTGACCTCAGACAAGTCACTTAAGCTTTCATTGTCTTTTAAAGCTCTCTGAAGAATAAAATTCCCAGACAATTTGCCAATCTGCATTTGGTAAAGGAAGTTTCCACAGCAGGAATTAACTGAGCACATGAAATCATTGGGTTTGGCAAAAACAAAAACAAAAACAAACAAACAAACAAACAAACAAACAAAAAAACACAATGGAGCAGAATGAAATGAAGAAAGGGCAAAGGGATTTTTCTTCTTCATTTTTTGTTGCTCTGGCCTCAACTATGATAGAATAATTTCACCATCTTTGCATGCATGGAGTACAAATAATGTTTTTATTTTGCCCATGGCATTTAAAAATTGAAACATGAATTGCTTCACAGGATTAAGAAAAATACAGACTTTTTTTAGTGAAAAAACAGAAAGTGACAGTAATGGTGGACAGCTCCCCAGCTCCCCTCAGACTCTTCTTTTCCCCCTCGAATTGTGGCTCTGACTTGGGAGAAATCATTTATAAGAGCAGTCTATGCCAGGGAAGCACTGAGTGGCCCCCTTTCTTCTCCAGGCCTTCCGGGCTCATTGATGTGGCTCAAAGGTTCCCCATGTCCTTTAGCCATAATTGCTGCATAGGTGCAACCGTAAATCGCGGCAGCCAACATCATCAGACACACAATTCCACAGACGACTCCCGTGATAACCACTGTGGCGATGGCATGGCGGAGATTGACTGGACGGGCCTTGGGTTTGAATTCACAGTCTGACCGGCTTTGGTCTACCTGTTCTTGGGCATGGCTGGGCTGTGGGGGATCTTGCTGGGCAGTGCCAGGGAGCTGGGGCTGGATGGGCCCCCCTTTCCCAAGAAGAGGAAGGCATGTATTGTAGAGCTCATACGGAATTTTAAGGAGATCTTTCCCTTTCCAGATGTCCGGGGATGAGCAGATAACTCCATCAGTTATCCCACCTTTAAAATTAAAGAATGAGCATAGTCAGTCTTGGAAATCATTCATTCAGCAATCAATTATTATTATGAGATGTCAGGCATTGTACGAGGCCCTGAGGATACACAAAAAGGAAATGTCTTTTCCTTAAGTAGCTCACAGGAGATATCCACTTAAGCATGGATGCTTTTTATGGGGGGGGCAGTAACTGGGGCAGGAGATGGATTACAATGAGCTGCCTGGAGAAGGGGGTTCTTGAGTTCAGCTTTCAAAGAAGTTCCAGATTCTAAGAGGTAGAGGTGAACGAGAGAGAGTTCCAGGCTCCAGGGACAGCTCACTGAACTCAATTAGGGACCAGTAGGCAAACACAAGTAGAAGTCAGATGGAATTTATCAAATACTTTGGTTAGTATTGTTTATTTCAAGTGAAAGATATTTACCTCTTTGATGATGTGAGTGTTTCTCAAGTGTCTGAGTATGGAAAACATGAAACACTAAATCAGCAATCATTTTTTTTTCCCCAAGAATTCCTATTTACTGGTTCCAAACTTACCTTGACCTTAGAAATAATCAGGAACAAAAAGAATATGAACACAGACAAGAAAGAGCCAGTGAATTTGTGGGGAAAAAATCTGTCTTATTGCCAAGGAAACACCCCAATGTCTCAATACCACAGAATATTTTTGTACAAATTTTAATAATAGTAATAGTGAACATCCAGATAGAGCTTTAAAGTATGCCAAAGGCTTTGCATACAGTATCCCATCTCACAATGGCTGCAGGAGGCAGGTCTTTTTAAGACCTTCATTTTATAGATGAAGAAACTAAAGTAGGCTGAAACTTAGCAACTTGCCCAGCATCAGAGTTAGGAAGGGTATATTTCAGGATTTGAACTCAAATCTTAATAACTCTAAGACTGACACTAGCTGGTAAGTCTCATCTCAGGTTGCTCACTGCTTGACCTTATGTGCTCTTTACAAAGGGTTCTATGTATCTCTCAGTACTTTTGAGGGATTTCAAACGTGGAATAGAAAATGTACCTCTTTTCATAACAGTCTACTGATATCATTTTAGTGTTTGGTGTGGATTATTATTATTATGATGATGATTATTATTTTTATTATTATTAGTCCATCAGGTCAAGAAATACCAAACATTTTCAGCACCAAAATTGGAGAGCATAGTATAGGGGGAAAATACCACCAACAACAAAAACCAAACAACCCCCTCCCCCTAAAAAAAAAAAATCCCCAAACCTAAAACATTGGATTGTGAACCAGGCAGCCTAGGCTAGGATCCTAGTTTTGCCAGTTGCCACTGTGTGGCCTTGGATAAGTCATGACCTCTCTGAGCATTAGTTTCTTCATTTACAAAATGAATGGGCTGAACTAGATGACCCCCAAATTCTTTTTGACTTCTAGTCATGTGACCCCATAATCTGACACTCCCCTAGGTTCAACTCCTGTCTCCAACATCTATGAGTTATTGGACCCTGGGTGAGTCACTTACCTCCACAGAGTCCCAGAGTCTCCCTGGGACTTATCACCTAAATCAGGGAGATTCTGAATCTGTGCTGGTGCCCATGGTTCTTGCACTGGGACAGGAGTGTCCCAGGCTGAAGAAATAAAGGCGTTTCTGTTTATTTGGATAAATAAATTATTCAGTCTTGTCTGGGAATGAAAACATAGATGTGTTGGTACAGTCACAGACGCTTTGTTACCATTTATTATGTATTACCTTCCTTCTATCATTGGAAGTTCACCCAGCGTGTCAGGTAGATCAGAATGGGTGTGCGGTGCGGTGGCTGGTCTTACCCTAACCCTAACCGTGACCCAAGTGGGCTTGGTGACGGAAGGGCTAGATTTGAGCCCTGCCTCTCACCCACTCAGGGCCCCTGGGCAAGCCTCTTAGCCCCAACTTCCTTAAGGTCCCTTCTAGTGCCAACCTCCTGTGATCTATTGTTATTTTCGTTGTTATTAATATCATTCCCAATTGTTAGACAAGTCAATTGACAGCCCCAAGCTAGCCTACAACTGGTCTCATGACCCGTCTCTGTGGGTTCTCTCTCTCTTGCTCCACTTCACTTTCTTCCACACCCTCTTGCCTTCCAAGATCAGCCAGTGAACCCTAAATCCTAAATCGGCACTCAGTGTCCATAGCCATAGGCAGCCCGGTCACTTCAAGTAAGGCACATTGATCAAAGGCTTTGTTCACCACCTCCAACGTAAAATTTGGAGATTCTATTATTCCCTCCTTTCAGGATTTTGTGTTTGCCTTTCCCTTGTCCTCCTTTCCCCATTCCTTCCTCTTATCTCCCCTTGGCTCACCTTCTCTCTCCTCTTCCTTCACTTTCTCTCCCCTCCTGTCTCCTCTGGTCTAAGCTTCTCTCCTTTCCCACTTTTTCCTCTCCTCTCCCCTCCCCTCCCCTCCCATCCTCTCTCCTTCTCTCCTCTTCTTTCCTCTTCTCTCCTCTCCTCTCCCCTCCTCTCCTTTCTCCTTCTCTCCTCTCTTCCTCCTCACTGTCCTCTACCTCCTCTTTCCTGATCTTTTCTTCTTCTCTCCTCTCCCTATTCCTTCCTTTTCCCTTTCCCTTTTCTCCTCCTTTCACTCTCTTCCTCCCCTCCTTTCCTCTCCCCTCCCCTCCCCTCCTCTTCCCTTTCTTCCCCTTTCTTCTCCTCCCCTCTTCTCCCATCCTTTCACCTCCTCTCCTCTTCCTCACTCTCCTCTACCTCCTCTTTCCTGCTCTTTTCTTCTTCTCTCCTCTCTCTATTCCTTCCTTTCCCCTTTCTCTTTTCTCCCCTTTCTCTCTCTTCCTCTTCCCTTCCCTCCCCTCTTTTCTTCTGCTATCCTTCCCTCTCCCTTCCTTTCTCTCCCTTCCCCTCCCCCTTTCTTGCATGTCTGTGCCATTAAAGCAGGTGGTTCACCACCAGATTATCTTTATCGGGGCCAGATAGCACTGATAATTGCGGATGAAGCTTGTGCTAAGGCTGAGATGGAGGTTTATAGAAATTCCAACTGACACAGAGAAACTGGGCAACAGAGAGCTAAGCAGAATGCTGTGCCACCCCCAGATGAAGTTCACTGTTTTTGGCCTAGAAGGTGTGTCGAGAGCCTGTCTTAAAATCAAAAATCCAAAGTCTCCTTATTTTTCTAATAACATGAGAAACAAAGGTTAGTAGTGATGGCTGAGTTCCCTTGTAGGGCAAGCTTTTCTGAGAACAGGCAAGGATATTGTGCGATTACCCTTAAGTTTGAACAGTCCAGGGAGTATCATGACACCAAGTCAGAAAGCTAGAACTTAGAACTCTGTTCCATCATCTTGCTTGAATTCCAAATTCAATATTCTGTGGTGTGGATGTCCTAGCTCATCCCAGATGTAGAATCCAGTGTTACTGTGGTATTGTCCTCATCCTAGCATTCCTTCTGCTCAGAATGAGTGAAGAGGCTCAGATATCAGTGACACCTTGATGATTTTGGCTTGACATGGACACGAAGACTGGGGACAAAGTGCTCCCCTTGAAACTTTATGTAGGTGACATGCAAGTGAAACGAGCTGACACAAGCAAGTAGGGATGGGGGGAGGCAGGGGACATTTCACTTGGCATGAGGCATTGGATAGGAGAGAAGCACCTTCTACGATACTTTAAGCTTTCTATCATGATGGAATGGCAGCTTGGGGACCAGGGGTATGGCCTCAAGCAGGAACGAGTGAACTTAAAGGGCATTATTGGCACACTATAAGTATCATGTCTTGGGGCAGAGCCCTAGTCACCCCACCCTGGTTACAGCTTTGCAATGGACTTGAAACTCTTTGAAGTCTTCCTTCTTCTCTTCCAGTCGCTCCCATAAGAGGATCACAAACTTAGAGCTAGGAGGGACTTTAGTGGCTTCCTAATAGTTCATCTCCCTCATTTTACAGATGGGGAAACTAGGGTCAGAGAAGACAAGTAAGTTGGCCAAAACGAGACAGGAAGCAAATGTTGAGTAAAGATGTGAGCCCAGGTTATCTGATCCCAAATCTAGTGTTCCAGTAACTACATCTGCTCTTCCACTCAATCCCAAATCCACTCACCCTATTTTCTATTATCTTTGACATTAGTTAGTAAGTGATACATTTTTAGAGCATCTCCTCCCTGCCTCTCACAATGTCCTGAAATATGTCTCCATACCTCCTATGCTCTTTGTAACCGAGTTTTTGACAATAAAGTGAGTTCCCAGAATACATCATCTTCATTAAAAGAAATGTTGCTATGTGTTTGTCCCTCTCTACTTAGAGTATGGACTTTTTAGTGTGCTCACTTTAATGTCATAGGATTTAGAGCTGGAGAGGATCTTCTAGAAAAATCTAATCCCCTTATTTCGCAGAAAAGTAATCTGAGGCCCAAGGAAATAAAATTACTTTCCCAAGGCTATACAAGTAGTTAATAGCAGACTTAGATGCATATTCAGGTCCTCTGACTTCAAACCCAATGTTGTTTCCATGATGCAATAGCACCTCTTATTCTCTGAAATGAGATTTCATTCAATAACCTTTGTTCACAACTGTTAGACTGCTTTTTACGAACAGCAGCAGCACCAGCACCAGCCACTACAATGACAACTTGTTAGCAGATTCCCTTCAAGTGCAATAGCTATGCTAGCTCACTAGGAAGAATCTTTAGCTCCTTGTTCTTCTTGGCATCAGAAAGCAAATTGGAGATCAGCTTATCTCCTAGGAGTAGCAATTCTCTTCTAGATCCGTGGTATAAACTCTACAGCACTCTGACTCCCAACAGTCCTTGTAGGCTTTCAATGGCCTCCCAAAGCTATCACTTTCCCATGTAAGTCTGTCTGTACACAGAGGCACTAGGAGGTAGCGCTTTACTCCATCAGCATAGGGAACTCCCAGGTGAGGAACTCTCTGCACCAATGTGGGCCAACATCTTCACTGTAACTTCTAGTCTTAGGGGATTGTTCTGGGCACCTAGAGGTTAAGTGACGCGTCCAGCCAGCATGTGTGAGTGCAAGACTTGAACTTGTCTTCCTGACTTCAAGGACAGCTATTTATTCATCATACCCCACGGCCTCTCATGTACATCTCTGACTGTTTATTGGCCTGTCTCAGATGAATGTACCAAATGAATACAGAGGAGGATAGACTTGGAGACAGATGAAACCTTAGGTCAAAGAGGGAAAGTATTTATTATTAAGTTATTACCATATGACAACCATTCACTCCATTCAAACTTCCTGGCTGTACACAAATGTAGAAACTTAATTCTGGGCCCAGAGAGATTAAACACCTTTGCACAATCATCAGGTTGGATGGGAGGGAGACTCAGAAGCCATCTTGTCTAAGCCACAACTCAAGAATCCCTTCTATAACATACGTTCCTGAAGACTGGGCAACCAACCTTTGCTTGACTTCCTCAATGCGTAGAAGCTCACTGCCATCAAAAGCACCCCCTGCCTCTTTTGGAGAGTTCTAATGGTTCAGAAATTTCTCCTCCCTCCCTCCCTCCCTCCCTTCCTTCCTTCCTTCTTTCTTTCCTTTCTTCCTTCCTCTCATTCTCTCTAGCTTTCTTTTTCTCTCTCTTTGATTCTTTTCTACTTTGTTTCTTTTTTCTCTTTCCCTCACTTTCTCTTTCCTTCTTTTTTCCTCTATATAGCTCTTTCTTTCTCTTCCTTCCTTCTCCTTCTCTTTCACCTCTCCCCTCCCTTCCCCTCTCCTTTCTCTCTCTCCTTTTTTCTCTTCTTCTTTCTCTCCTGATTTCTTTTTTTTGGCAGTGGACTATAGTTGTGATTTCAGCAGGGTAGGGAAATCACTTGTACCATGTAGATCAGTAACTCTGCCACAAATTATTCTCCTTAGCAGTTGACTGGGAGAAGAGAAGACTTTCCCTGGGTCACAAAGACAACTGGCATCAGGGGTAAGACGTGACATCTTTCTGAGCCAGAGTCTGCCCTTCTGGCACCTCTACCATGATGTTTCTCTCTTCATTTAAAAAAAATGTGGGCATAAGTTCTATTGAAACTGTAAGAAAAATTTTCACTCTCAAGCACTAAGGAGACAGCAAAGGGGGAAACACACCACACACACACACACACACACACACACGCACACATTTACACACAGAGACAATATATTGAGCCTCTTTTACACACCTGTGTGTCTGAGTAGGTATATGTGTTTATATATACATGCACATATATACAAATGTATACACATGTACATGTGCATGTTTGTGGGAAGAGACAAAGAACATTGGGTGCAGTTTTAACTTGGTATGCCATTTCCTTTCTTAGGACTTTTGTTTCCTCCTCTGTAAAAGGTGTGTGTGTGTGTGGGGGGGGGGGATGTGAATCTACTGACCTCTGAGCTCCAATCCTGCTCTGTCTGTGATTCTGGGAAAGACTCTTTAGTAAAACCCATTTGTCAATAGATGTATAAACACACCCCCATTTTGCAGAGGCCTCCTGCCCATTTTTGCCTGTACCTGTAATGTCATCAGCCCTGGCACACAAATTAGCCCTGGACGGCCCACCCTCAAAGCACTTTCTAAAGTGCAGAGCAAACCCATCCATTCCCCGCATGCTGGAGGACAGATGGTTGTTTCAGTACACAACTTACTGACCTTTGTATACAAAGCTCTCCAGCCACAGTTTAAGATCCAGCAGGTGACAATTGCATTTCCAGAGATTGTCCTTGAAGAATAAAGCTCTCAGGCTGGGGAGGGATGCCAGGTGAGCCCTGTGGACCTGTTGTAATTGGTTCTTCTGTACAGCAAGTCGAGTTAGGTGGCTTAGGGTGTCCCCCTTAAACTCGGGCAGCTCCTGGATGTTGTTAAAGGACAAATCCAACTCCTGCAGTTGGGGCAATGATTGGAAAACTTTGCTTTCCAAGGAATGAAGGGAGTTCTGTGTTAGGTTTAAAACCTGTAAGTGGGCAAGGCCCAAGAATGCACCAGGAGCAAGGGTGAAAATGGCATTGTGGGAGAGATCTAAGGTTCGGAGCAAAGGCGTCCTGCTGAAGGCAGATGTGGGGACGTCTCCAATGTGGTTATGCTGCAGATGTAGGATCTGGGTCCGAGGAGGCAGCTCTGAGGGGATTTCCCTCAAACCTTGCCTGCTGCAGTCAACAGACTTTGAAGATGTGTGACAAAGACACTTTTCTGGACAGCTGCCCGCCCCAGGGAGTAGCAGTAGCACGCTGGAGAGCCACAGCAAGTCACCTGCAGCAAAGGGAAGGAGATCACATTGGAGAAATGGGTTTCAAGATGAAGACTGTGGAAACCTGCCTTCCCCACTTGGGAATGATTTGATAATATGACACAAGATTGAATAACATCTCCCAGGGAGCACAATGCAGATGAAGCTATGAACCCTTGTTGGGGGGACCTAGAGGAGAATTTGGAGATGAGCCACTACTACAAACTTTGTTTTGTTTTGCTTTTCCCTGCTGGGTGTTTAGAAATCTGAATTCCCCAAAACATCAAACTGAAAGTGGAAGCCATCAATTTTCTTTCATTTTTCTTTTAGTTTTAGACTCTTGTCTTCCATTAGCTGTCACTTAACCAAACCTCAAAGCTGGTTCCTTTAAACTTTTTTTGTTTTGTTTTAAAGTTTTACTGATTCCTTTTGTTTTCACATCACAGTCATTTCCAAATATATTCACCCTCTAGCCCCACCATCAAGTGAACCTTCCTTTATAACAAAGGTAAAACAGGTACGCCCGTGGACCCAGTGACTACATCTGACTGCATATACCATATTTTCAACACATAGCCTCTCTTCTCTCCAAAAAGAAAAAACAGAATATGTTTCTTATCTCTGTTTAAACCTAAGATTGGTCACTATAATGCATTACTCTTCATTTTAGTCAAATTCAGTTTGTTAAGGGGATGACAATATTCAATTTTCAACCTTGGAACTGACAGCCTGACTCTGGATCTCAATCTGTTTTTCACCAAAGCCCTGAACTTTATTTTGTATACCTGTCTGAGATCAGAGGAATTGGAGATGAATTCAGTTTTCTGAAAAGAGCTCATCAAAGGCTTCATTCCCTTTGGAGGACTATTAAAATAATTCCAGTTTCCAGCACTGTAGCCATTCTGTACCCCCTCATTTCTCAAGGGCCCAAGTTTCTAACAATGGCAAATGTTGGTGACATCGAACTGTTGTTCCCCCCAGGGATTCATCAGCCAGTATTGCTGCACTGAAAGCTTGGAAGTATTATTTGCTTGCAAGAAAAGCTCTTGACAATGTTTCCTTTGCTTTTGACTCAGGGAATAATACCATGTTTCTATTAAATACACAGAGCTGTTTCTTTTTCTTTTTTTTTTCCTTTCTTTCTTTTTTTTTTTAATAATCCTGTCTAATGTGCACATAGTGAGATAATGAAGATATGGAGCAATTCCTGGCAGGAAGATCCCACTTGATATATTTTGGTTGAATGGCCTTTGAACATTCAACACCCCCATGCCACCCCACCCCACTCCAAAGCATTCACATTCACCTCAAGTTGTTTCTGTGATTCTGTAAATAAGCTAAGTGACCTGTTTCAAAGACAAAGATCTCTCCGTCAATCTCTATTTTAAGAGCCTTGGAAATTACAGGGCTCCCTGAGTGTTGACTGTGGAGCTCAAACATTAATTTGCAACAGGAAATCAGACCTTAAACTAGAGAATGTGCTTTCAACAGAGCACACTAATCTATTAATGAAAGGCTTGCCTTTCTGTGATTATGTTCATTTTAGACACCTCTTCCTAACTCTTATCCTGAAGACAAAAAGAAAAAAAAAAACCACACAGCACATGAGAACTCTACTTCTTAGCTCCCCCCCAAAAAATGGCCCATGGCAGACCAATTAAACATCTCTGGTTTGAACTATTTTTTTTCCTTCCCAAGAGTCTGAGGTAAACAGACATTCTGTATCTGCTTGAGTATAGTGGACAGAAAAGACTTCTTTAAAAGACAGTTCTTATAAGTACCTCCCCAATTTCCAAAGATGCCCGGGCTATCCGCAAGATATAGGAAATTTCCTATGAGATGATGAATTAAGAGCTCACCTTTCATGGCTGGTCCTTGGAAGTTTGCCTTGTGATATTTCATCCAATTTAATCAATGGAAAAGGAATAAGCCAACCTCACACCAGAAAGCTGCGTCTTTTTTTTTCCTTCTCCTTCTCCTAATCCACCTTTGCTTTGCCTTGCTTACTCTTGGAGGGAGGCATGATGGCAGCTTCTTGAAAACCGTCCATTAAAACAATTCTTTCCAGGGTCTCCATCTGACCTCCAGTGGGAGATCCTCCTTATTGTGGCCTTCTTCTCCCTCTCTGCGTTTCGATTTTCTAGCTCACTGAGAGCTCCCCTGACTCTCTCATTCACTCAACAGGGCACATATAAAGAGTGTCTGTCAAACCTTGGGGAACAGCTGTAGCATTCAAGCCACGACCTGACAGCCTGGGCTTTTTGATTATTTAATCTGCTTGAAGTCCAAGGCACCAAAATAAAACCACCTTCCTAATCCTGCCTGGTTTCTACATTCTGGTGACTTATTCACCCCGTTGGGTCAAAACATGGGATGCCTATCTAGAAGGCCAGGATCAGAGGCAGCAGTGTGTGTAATCTTAGGACAACTCCAGCTAGCCAGCGATGACACAGCCTTGCTGGGGTATTCGCTTGCTCATGGAGAGATCATTTGTGCAGCATTCAAGGTGATAGCTGGGTTGGCAGGTCCTGCTACCCCAGTATTGAAATGACAACCTGTTCTCCTGAGATGCCCCAGCAAGAATGCATTGATGCTCCCCCACCTCTGCCTGCCCCCCAGGCCCAGATTTTCTTTTCCCGTTGAATTGGCCTTTCTCTCTGTGTTACTTATAACTGTTTCTCCTTCTTTCTAATTTCCATGATGCTGAGAGCTCAGCTTTCACTCATAAAATAGTTAAGGGACCCAGGGCCAGCATCAGAAACCAGTGACCTGTATCTGTTCCCTAATTAAAATGACAAGGACTGTTCCTACCAGGGATTTGAATCCCAGTGAATAAGCTACTCAGGGTTTGTGAGACATTTGCTATTGGCTCATTAGAATCTTCAATGAATCTCTTGCTTTCTCCAGACATTTCCCAGGGATCTCTACGCCTCAACGAAGTTAACATTCTTATGCTTATAGATCTCCAGGGTGTTAAGGATTGGTGGGCAGTACTAGATGAGAGAGAGAGAGAGAGGAAAGACAGGAAGAAGAATTAAAGAAAACAAAGCCATGATCTTTTAATCTTTGAAATTAATTTAACTACAAATTGTGCCTAAATGAGCTTAAGTGATTGTATTGATGTCCAATATTGTTTTCAATAATTTTTTAAAAGTATACAAAACCAAACAAAAAACTAAGATCATTTTTACCCTGCTAGTTTTTCTTCTTAATCTGGTGACATTGACTTTGTTCATACAAAAGCTATTTAACTTTACCAAATCAAAATTGATTATTTTATTTTTTGTGAACTCGTTTATTCTTTATTTGATTACTTGTTTTCCCCCCAAAATAATTCTGAAATTATAATTATGATGATAACTAGCATTTAAATAATGCTTCAAGGTTTGCAAATACTTAACATGTCTTATCTCAAATGATCCTCACAACAACCCTGTGAAGAATTTGCTATTAGAATAGTCATTGTACATATGAAGAAAGTAAGGCTGAGATCTTAGGTGATTTGCTCAGAACCACACTGCTAATATGTCCCAGGAAAGATTTGAATTCTGGTCTTATTGACTCCAAGCTCCATTGTGCATATGCCTGTTCTTCTCATCTCATGTGTTTGTATATGTATGTATATATGTATGTATGTATGTATGTACGCACGTGTGTGTCTTGTGACAAGTCATGCTTAAGTATCCTATTCATTTGGACCTTGCTGTGGTATATGGTCTAAGTTGCTGGTCTAATACTAGTTGCTTCTAAATTCATTACCTACTTTGTATAGCACCCTTTCCAGTCTTCCTGGACAATCAGGCCCAGAGACTTAACAATCTGCTTTTCTTCCTTCTTTCCCCAAGCTGATTACCTTTCATTATTTGAATGAACAAGTCTAATCTGTCCATTTTTCAGTCATGGCAATCCACAAAAAAATATAATAGCAATAACAATAATAATAACAATGCATAGTAATCCTCATTCTTGTGGCTCCATTGCATTGTATAATCTTATCTTTTTGGAGGAAAGTAATGATTTTCTTTTCTCCCCAGCCCCTAGCATAGTGTCTTACCCATAGTAGGCTCTCAACAAACAAACAATCGTTTGGAATTGAGTTGGCTTCCACAGTGACAGAAACAGAGTTGGGTAAATGGTATCAAACCAATGACCCCCCCACCACCAAGTTAAGGTAAAGGAGAATGAGGAGAACATTCAGAGGCCATAAGGTAGAAGACAGGCAGTTTGTTGACACTCTGGCATCAATTTCCACTCCCCTCAGCTTCTCTCTTCTACCTCAACCCTTTTAATCCACATACTTAGAAGAATCCATGGTGCCCACCTGGCACAGTTATTCATTTTATTTTAATGTTGACTTGGATCTTAATGCCAATCCTACTCTTCTTCTTTAAGAAGATATCAATACTCTGAAGTTTCTTTTTCAAAGGTGAACACTCCACAGATACCATGGAACTAGAAGAGAAAGTCCCAGTAAGTTAAATAATAATAAATAAACTGAAAATTATAAAAATAGGAAATGGATAAAAGGGAAGATATTGACTTGGTTATTGCCATTTCTTTTTTTCAGAGATACAGAGCAGGGAATGTGATTATCAGAACAAAAGTGGGCTAAGTGAGAGAGAGCTGTACTTGGTGATCTCTAAAGTCTCTTCCAGAACTAAACCTGTGCTTATGTGGGAACTAAGACATGATATTTAGATATGAATCATGTGTATAGAAATGACACCAACAGAGGGGGACAGAAAAGATCACTGAGGGAGACTTCAGAGAGAGAATAAAAGGAGGCCAGAAATAATGAAGGAAGGAAGGAAGGAAGGAATGAATGAAGGAAGGAAAAAAAAAAAAACATTTGTTATGAACTTACTTTGTACAAATCCTGGGCTAAGTACTCAGCATACAAATATAAAAGCTAAGAGTGGCTGGAAGGCAAACAGGCATGCTAGCAGCAAGGATTTGATGTGCCAGATACTGTGCTAAGAGCTGAGGATAAAAAGAAGGGAAAAACAATCCCTGCTCAGAGAAACTCACAGTCTAAAAAGGGAGAGAGCGTGCCACCAACTATATACAAGCAAGATATATTCAGGATGAATTGGAGATAGTCAACTCAAGAAGCTTGTATTTCAATAGAGAAAGGCAATGTATATAGAAGAATGGTGTCTTCTTCAGAGGGAGATCAAAGAGATTGGTGATTAGAGTAATAGTACAATTGATTGACATCATTAGTTTGAATGGTAATTTTAATTTGACTACTGTCCTCTGAGCTAGCTTGGAAAGTATGTATATGAGGGAAGGGTCCACATTCTAGTCATGGCATGGAAATGTCTAGCAAGTATCACGATAGACGTAAGACTGGACAAGATAATGTAAAATGCTCGCCAATCAGCCCAGGATCAGAGGGGTAGAAAACTGTCAAATTTAGTCATTGCTTATTATTATTATTATTATTATCATTATTATTTGCTAAGTAGATTATCCTGAGATAGTTTGTAAATGATACAAGACAGTGGACAACAAACAGATGTCAAATGATACAGATCTTGCCATGTTCTACTATCCCTAGCAACAACAGCAGGACTGCCATATTTTGGGGTAGTTAGGTGGTGCAGTAGATAGAACTCTGGCCTTGGAGTCAGGAGGACCTGAGTTGAAATTCAGCCTCAGACACTTGACACTTACTAGCTGTGTGACCCTGGGCAAGTCACTTAACCCGATTGCCTCACCAAAAAGAAAAAAAAAAAAACAAAACTACCATATTTTATCACTAACAATAGACTCTCCAATGAATTGAGAATGTGATTTAAAAGGGACTTTAAGATGAAGGCAATGAGAGCAGCTAAGCCTTATCAATTTTTCTTTTGAATTTATATATAAGATAATACCGTAATAAAATGATACCACCAATATACATTGGAATTCTTTTTGCAACTTATAGTCTTAGGGAGTTGTTTGGGATACAGTATGTGGCAGAGAAGGGACAGATCTTCCTGACTCTGAAGTCAGCTCTCTACCCACTATACCATGGTGGGCTCTCAAATGTATACAGAAGAAATCCATCTGAAGGTAATGCAATTAAAAAAAAAACATTCAGAGACCAATTATCAACATATTTTAAAGAAGAAAAAGAAGGGAAGAGATCATAAATGTATTTACCCTGATTATAAATGGATACAGAAGGTATTATGAACCATTGACCTGTATGCCCACTTTCTCTTTCCTATAGAATTTTTGTGACAATGGCTTATGCGTGCAGGATAAGTGTCTTTGATGGAAACACGAGAACAGTCAAGTGATTTTTCTAGAGCAAGCCCATCTTTCCAGCCCCACAACTGACTGAGAGGTGTGGAAAATATCAGCTTCCACTCTGTTTATTGATTTTTAAGAAAGCCTTCAATTCAGGGGAGCAGATTACACCTTCAAGGCTTTCCTTGTTAGCAACCTAGCAGGTGGGAGTCTGGGGGAGCAGGTTAATCCACAGCAAACTGCGTAAATCAGGGGAGGAGAAAACAAGCTCGCATAGAATTGGACATGAGCTCCAGCTCAGCCAGATTGTCCTGAGAATGAGCCACAGATCTTGAGAACCACAGAGGCACCTGGGGGACATTCCATCCCCCAGGCGTGGGCCCTGCGTGCAGGCGATGGGAGAGGGAGAGACATTGATTGAGTCCAGTGTTCCATCATAGCCAGGTGTAGATGAAGCTGATTGAACACTAGGGAGACCAGAGGAATGGGGTCCCTGGGTTTCCATTCTCTCTCCGCTCTCATCCATTCTCCATACAGCTACCAAAGCCAAAATCTGAATATGGATTCTTCTACTCAATCAAGTCGAGAGCCTCCCTATTGTGGCTAGGATAGAATATAATGTTAATTCCTGTTTAGCTTTTAAAGCTTTGCGTGAATTGGCCTCACACTATCTTCCCAACCTCATTGGGCTTTATTTCCCATCCTGTATTCTGATTTTCTCTCAGTTCCTCACACTTGACAATCTCTCTCCAATCTTTGTACCTTTGTGCGTTCCTGGAATGTAGCTGCCCTACATGCAAGGAATGGGT